TGATCCGAAGATCGCCGTTTCACGCCCCGGCCCCGACAACATCAAAAATTGTGGGTGGGGTAGGTGAAACACCCACACTTGTCCCCACCCTCATTCGCCCCACTCTGGCCCCATGAGCAAGGCCCTTAACCCCCACTATGTGCTCCCTAAAAAAAAAACAGGTCTCTCTTGAAAATGAGTTCTCGTGGCTCAATGAGACTAACCTGGATAAATAAAGGCTAAATGAAAAAATATATATATATAAGTAGAAGGATGTTAGAAATACAATTGCCAGGAAAAAGACAAAGAGGAAGACCAAAGATACACTGTACATGGATGCAGTTAGAGAGGACATGGATGCAGTTGGAGTGAGGACAGAGGACAGAGTGAGATAATGGAGAATGGCTTACTGTGGTGACCCCAGAACAGCTTGAAGAAGAAGAAGAAAAAGAAGAAGACTATTTCTGAGCATTTGTTTGTGCACTAACCACTCCTTTCAGCCTCCTGAGTGGCGGGGTGGCTCTAATCACTTCCAGCTTTTCTTAATCCTGGCTGAGATCTGGTATTTAAGGTCCTGGTGTCAGCTTTTCTACACTGGAATATTTCATGCCTTTTTGGTATATTGAAACAGCCTGAGTAGACTTAAAGTGCCTTAACTTGACTAAAACTAATTGTAATCTTTCTCCTGTGCCTCTAGTTTTCCTGGTTTCCTGGTTCTCATGTTGTAAGCGATGTCCAGATACTTCTCCTAAGGTGCAACGCCTAGCATTGTCTTCTGGACATTCCACCAATGAGCTCCAGCCCTAAGAAGAAAACACGGCTCTCAAGTCCATCCTGCCACTCTCTTCACCTGCAATACTTGTCTCCACTGTGGTTTTCCTTTTGTACTGACTGTGGTCTGGTCATTGTCTGTTAACTTACTCTGGGGATTTTTTTTTAAACTATTACAACCATGTTAGAGCTCATGCTAAACTGAACTCTTTATCTGGCTATCTGAGCTATGCACTACTAATACACAACTGCTCTTGCTAATCAATTTGAAGTCAACAGATGTGAAAAAATTGACACCTATGCACAAAGAATAGATAAAAGTGTCTTAATGAGACATGTTGACAGTACAGTTTGCAGCAGGTCACAGGCTTATCCAGGAGCCCTTTGAGATGTCCTGAGCAGGCATGACCAGAGTGAAATATTTAATTGCTAGTGTGAGCAGAATATCCTACCAAGACCTTTGTTTTCTTCATCTTCATGTAAATGATAAAACGTTTGACATCACCATTTAATTTTACTAGCCTAGAGAAATGGGAAATGATTAGGCGCTTGAACAGTATTTATTACACTGTACTAAAGTAAATGATCAAATGCTCAAAATGAGCAAATGCTGATTTTGTTATTGCTCTTTCTACTGGGCTGCCGAATGAAGCGTAGAAGTGACAGTGCCTTTATCTAATGAAGAGAAGCAGAAAGGTCTCCTTTAGTCTTTGATAAAACACTGGCAGAATACTGATAGAGATCTACTAGAAAGAATGCCTCTCCCCTGGGCCCTAATATACAGTAAGTGATAAAGGTCAGACACAGAATTTGACTGCAAAATTATCAATCATCTAAATGCAGTGCATGGTCCGCAGGGACTATTTATAATAAATGAAGGTGAGAGCTCATTATATGTGAAGAAAGATGGATAATGAAAGGTGGGCAAACAACACACACACACACGTATATGTATAAAATTTTCTGTACATTTCTGTGTCAAATAAGAATAATGAAATATTGTTGCTCACATATATGTTTTCTTTATTGTTCTGAGAAATCAAACTTTAATACTTTCCCTACTGACGAATAAATACACCCAGTAACTGCCCTAGCAGGCAATTTACAAACCAAATACTGGCTGGATTTTCTGTGAAGCATTTACAGTTATTTTTATTGTTATCAAAGATGCATTTTAACACAAATATGATTCCAGTCATATTCAGCTTTAAATTATTACAAGCTGTTTAAATGATGTGGCTTTTCTCCAGCTAGAACAGCAAAGGAATAGACAGACCATGCTTTTATTAGAAGATGCCTGCTGAAAGCAAAAAGTGAAATTAAGAAAAGGGAAAGCCTGCTAACATGGCACAATGGGCAATAGTATATTTTTTGGGAAACAATAAAAATATTTTTTTATATTTCTGTTCATGTAGAGTTTTATAAGCTTTCACTTCTTATGAACATGTCCAAAACTTTGGCAATATGGTTTTTATTTTGTGTTTCTATAAAGCTTTTTGATCAAATAAAGGCAATAAAAGAACCTTGAAGGACAAGAAACTAAAAACTCTTGTTTGTGTAAGGAGAAAATACACTAGATGAAAGACACCACAAATAAATAGCATTTATAAAAGTCTTAAGCTATGCTAAAATTATGCATTAAGGATTCTGACCTTAAGGGCAGCATGGTGGCGCAACTGGTAGAGCTGCTGCCTCTCAGCGAGCAAGTCCTTGGTTCAAACCCCAGTCCAGGGGCCTTTCTGGGTGGAGTTTGCATGTTCTCTCCGTGCATGCATGGGTTTTCTCCGGGTACTCCGGTTTCCTCCCACAGTCCAAAAACATGCATGTTAGGCTGATTGGTAACTCTAAATTGTCCCTAGGTGTGAGTGAGAGCGTGAATGGTTGTTTGTCTCGTTTGTCTCTATGTGGCCCTGTGATGGACTTGCGACCCATCCAGGGTGTACCCCGCCCCTTGCACAGTGATTGCTGGACATGGGCACCAGCGACCCCTGTGACCCAAAATGGAATAAACGGGTAAAGATAATGGATGGATGGATTCTGACCTTGTGTTTACTGAATAGTAAAATGACACTGTCCTCAATGATGCTTATGCAAAAAATATATTCATTTAAATGGATAATTCAGACATTTTAAAGTGTAGTTCAATGAAAGTTAATGACATTTTGATTTTGTTGTTGTAGATAGATCTTTCAATAACCTTATTTTGGATAAATAGTGTATTCTGACCAGACTGATGAGCTAAAGACTAAATTGAACTGGATCAAAAGTTAAAAGTGTATGGCCATCATATTTAAAACATTTATTTGAACGCTATTTTAAAAAAAAATTACACAACTGTTAGTTTTGCATAGGGCAGCACGGTGGCGCAACTGGTAGAGCTGCTGCCTCTCAGCAAGCAGGTCCCTGGTTCAAACCCCGGTCCAGGGGTCTTTCTGGAAGGAGTTTGCATGTTCTCTCCGTGCATGCGTGGGTTTTCTCCGGTTGCTCCGGTTTCCTCCCACAGACCAAAAACATGCATGTTAGGCTGATTGGTAATTCTAAATTGTCCCTAGGTGTGAGTGAGAGAGTGAATGGTTGTTTGTCTCGTTTGTCTCTATGTGGCCCTGTGATGGACTTGCGACCCGTCCAGGGTGTACCCCGCCCCTTGCACAGTGATTGCTGGACATGGGCACCAGCGACCCCCGTGACCCAAAATGGAATAAGCGGGTAAAGAAAATGGATGGATGGATGGGTGTTTCTCCTTCAAAACATTTTCAAACTAATATGTTGATCATTTAAAAATGCTGAATGCTACAACTGAACATTAAGTTTTTGACTTAACAAGTTTTTGAACTAGCCTACGAAACCAGAATATAACATTATTTAAATGAGTTGCATATTTAATTCACTAACCAAAAATGTATTAATTCAAGATTAAAGCAATGCCCAAATAAAGCACTTCATGAATTGTAATTCGAGGTAAACAACAAAGGAAGACATGAAGATTAACACCCAGTAAGGTGTTATACTGTTAAAAGCAACAGCACAGACAGAAATGTGAAAACAACTTCTATTTCATTAACACACAGCACATCTGAGACTGTTGTGAATTGCACAAATTTCCTTAGACCTGTCTGATCCAGTCCCCTGATGGACTGCTGTAAGTAATGCAGGCTTTGGCTCTCTGCTGGAGTATCAGGACAAGCATCTAGTAAATTGACAACTTTTCTTGTTGTAGGTTTTCTGTTTTCATAGACTTATTGAATATTTGTTTGGTTTTGAAAAGCGTGTCTAAATGCTTTTCTTGCAAC